ATATAATATAAAACTAATATAATATCAATAAAATAATATAAAATAATGTTTAAAAATATCTATAATATTACAATATTTAGAATGTATATACAATTAGACAATATTAACTGTAGCTTATAAGTATCAATTATGCATCAGTATAGAATATGAATTTTAATTTTTTATCTGCTTTTTTATGCTATTCTATAGCTTTTAAGACATAATTTTAAAAGTTGTTATGTGTTATTTCATATAGTTTCTAGTTTTCTAATATATATATACTTTCTTCTATATCATTTATAACTTCAAGACTTTATAAAGATATCATCTTTGTTGCTAACCTTGTTAAATGTATGATACAAAATTTGGCATTTGGACAAAACATTATTTTATTTTATTTTATTTTTTTAACTTAAGCAGTCATGTTAGTACTTTATTAGAATTCTTGAAACTATACAAATTACAAAGAATTTTTCCAATAACTAAGTTCAGCATTATCTGGCCATCCTATTTGTATCTAAGTGCAACCTGCCACATTACCTCAAGCAGAAGTAGGCTGCCCGTCTGACTGCCACTCTACAATAGGATACCATCAATCTGATGACGTTTTCTTATAAGGAAGCAAAAAAATAAAAAAATAAATTTTATATATAAAAAAAAAAACAGAGGTATAGGGGTAAATGATAAAAGATACAAAACAAAAAATAAAAGAGGAAGGGAAAAATGAGAAAAAAGAAAAGTGTGAAACTTGCAATTCACAAAAAAATCAGACAGTCACGATTTTAAGCCTGTGTCAGGCATAAAACTTGCAATTTACAGATATCAGACAACTACAATTATAAGCCTGTATTGGGCTTGTAAAAATTATAAACTATACTAAATAGAAATTACTCTACTATCTTTTTATTTACTTAGATTATTTAAACAAAAAACCAAAGAAGGAGAAAAAAATTTTGACTTTGTTGTAAAGGGTCAGTATAAGGTACTGGTTAGTCCAAAGGCAGTGTTTGACAGGTTTCCAGTGGCTTGAGACATGTATATAATCATGTTTGTATTGCTGTATTATTTCTGATCCATGTTGTAAACAATCCTGTTTAGAAAGTAAACACTGCTAACTGTTTTGGTAATTTTACATGTTGATCTTTAAGAGGAGATAAACTGAATCATTTACTTTTATAAAATTTTCTTTAAAGAAAAAGTGAGAGTGCTAGGTGAACCAACTTTTTAGCTTTTGTGAGTTTTTAACCCTTGTGGATATTTCTTGTAGGTTTTACAGTTGTATAGAACTAATACATCCAACTTTGTTGTTTACTTAATGAAGAATCTTGGCTTTCACTGACTACTTCTTCTATAGTCCTAGAGTGCTCTTTAAACCATCACCACAAGGCTGCGACTCTTTTTCAACTCTATTTCAATGTCCAACAATGCATGTACAGTACTCCAGAAAGGTTTTTATAAAGTTTAATATATTAACTATATTATTTTCTGTAGTTCAGCTTTTTGGAAAGTTTGGTTCAAATGATCATCAGAAAGAGTTTTTTGTCTAGTTGTATTATTATATGTTAGGCAAGACATTATAATATTAAACAAATATGAATTAAAAATTAATACTTTTTTATATCATATTGTAATTTAATTTTAATTTAATTATTATAGTAATTTTTAATTAGTCATATAGCTTTTTTAGAAAAGCAGTTTAAAATAAATTAATTTTTAAGATATTTAATTTAACAATTAGGTAGAATATGCATATATTTGTAAAATATATTTATTAGTAAATATTTAATTCTATTAATTATTTATTGTAAACTGAATTAATTATTAATTAATAGTGAACACTTATATTTTATTGCAATTTAAAGGATAGTGAATTTAAATATATATATATATATAATTGAAATTTATATTTTGTTGTATTGCAAATATGCATAATTTTTTAAATTAATTTACAGTATTTAAAATTGTTTAATTTAATACAAATATAATAAGTTGGTTTAGAACCTCAACTATACTGATCTTTATTTGAGTATAAAGGCATCAAGTAATTATTAATTTGTTATAAAGATTTAATTTTAATATATATTATAGTTATTATATAATACTTAATGTTTAAAAGTATCACATTTAAATATTTTAAAAATAAAATTAAAGTGTATTCAATTAGCTAATATTGAGTATTATAAATAAACAGCTTATAAAACATTTAAATTTTTTTTATTTGTAAAATTTGATATAAGGTTCAAAACTGAAATTCAGAATATATACTGTTGTCAAGATTGATCATATGATTGGAAAGAACACTTTTATTGGTTAAAATTAAAAATATAAGTGTTCACATTTTTATGATTTTTTATAATTTTTTAATAAAATTATTAATGTTTAGAAGACTGCTACACTATTAGCTTTGCTTTAAATTTAAATCTAAACTATAAGTTTTGTTCTTAAAAACAAAAAAAATAAATCTTGTAGATTATTTTTATATTTTATAAATTTTTAAAAGAGAAGTAGCATTTTTTGTTAAGTTATATTTTAAAGAAATTTAAAGCTGATCACATTATATATAGTAACTGTTACTAATAATTGGGTTAGAATATCTATAATAGTAGTTGCATTAGCATAACTAACAAGACATAAAACATCTGTATAAATATGATGTTTTATAGAGAAATGTAACCTGATAATTAGATGATGCAAACACTAAATAAGTCTTTGTAACTGTATAAATCTATTAAAATTAAATAATAAAAAATCTATTTAAAAAGATCTGAGTAGAAAGATAATCAGATTTTCAATAATGTTACTATAAAAGCTAGTCTTATGAAACAGATACTAATATAAAAGTAGTCAAATAAGCAAGAATTTCCAAGTTGAAAATCTTGAAAATACTACCAACTAGGCTATCAGAACAGACTAAAGAAAAAAGATATTAGGCTGACTTAATATCTAATAAACTTAATATAGTTTTATTAAGCTATCTGGATTAGAAATCTGATGAATAGATAAAGATATACTAAAGTATTTTGAATATGCTATGAAGTAAATGCTAGGGTCTAAGTAAACTTTTAAGCACATAGCAGTTTAATAGTTAAGCTTTGATCACAAGTATTAGTTCTGTTATAACAATATCAGATCAGTTATAAAAATAAATATAGAAGATTTTAGAAGGTTTATTTCAAGAATAAATTAGTCCTAAAGTTAAAATGATAATCTGAGCTTAATCTAGTAATATTAATACAGATTGCAAGTTCAGAAGGTTTAAAATAGAACACTTCAGCAAAGGTGTTAAATATAACAATTAATAGAAAACCTTTAAGTAAACTCCTTAAATAAATAATATAAAAAAGTTATACATGTAACCAATTGTATACTCTTCTTGTAATAGTTCACAGAATCACATCATCAAAAAAATTATTAATAAAAGTCAAAAAATTAAAAAGATCAGCTTAACACTAAAAAAAAAATATCAGCTTAACACTAAAAAAAAAATATCAAGACAAGTAAAAATAACACAAAAATATTTAATATTATAGAAGAAACAAAAAAAATTTAATAAAGAATTCAAAAAATAATTATTATAATAGTTTGAAAAAAAACCAAAAAAAGAAGAAAAAATTTAAGTCTTTTTATATATATTATATAATATTCTTTAGAAAAATAGAAACAGAAAAAATAGAAATAAAAAAAATACTAATTAAAATTCTAATTTTAAAAAAAACATTAGACAGGTTAATGTAACTTCTAAGTATAAAGTCAAAACAATAATTTGCAAATACAGCAACAAAAACAGTTTGTGATACTTTCTACAAACAAGTTTAAAGAATATGATATAAAAAAATCAATAAGCAAAAAGAATAACGAGCTAAATAAAAATAAAAAATAAAAAAAATAAAATAAAATAAAAAATAAATCAACAAGAGGTAAAAGAAAAAAAATAAGCAAGAAAAAAAAATAAATTGAAAAAAAAGTTAGAAAAACAATGTTAGAGTTTGTAATAAAAAAAAGTAAACCTTTTATTATGAACTTTAAGTAGTCAGACAAGCAGCCTACTTCTGTTTGAAATAGTGCAGCAGATTGTATATAAGTACCAGTAAGGTGACCGGGTAATGCTAGAATTAGTTGTTAAGTATATCTATGTAATTGCAAAAGCAGTTTCAAGAATCTTAATAAAGTACTAGCATGAAAAAAAAAATTTATATAAATTTACCAATTATATTAATATATACAGTCAAACCTCTTTATAATTATACTTATGATTTTAAAAATTTGACATTTATAGAAAGTTAAAACTATATAAAGATTAAATTTTATAAGTGTTATATAAGTTGGGTTTAAAAATTTATATAATTATAAGCAACTATAACCATAAAAAAGGTAATTATAAAAAGATTTAACTGTATATACACTTGGAAATTTTCTTAAAAAATTAAATAAAAATATTTTAAAAATTGCAAAAATAAATCTTTTAATATCAAACACCCGTATAAAATGTTAAATATAATAATTTTCTTTACCAATATTTAAATTTTTTTTACAAAATAAAATCTATAAATAATTTTTTATAATAAAATCTTAAAATCTGGTTGGTAGCTCATCACTACCTTTTACTGTGAAACCCTATATAAGAAATTAAATTATAAAATATGAATATTCCTTAATCACATCTAAATAAATAAATAACATCAATTCTCATTCAACAACAAATAAATAATTTTCATAAGAAATAAATAAATAAGTGCATGAATTAAACTTCAGGTTTTATAAGATTAGTTATTATTTTTAAACAATAATCCCTTATATACCCAACTTCCCCTTTCTTTATATTTATTTTCTAAATGTAGTTTACTACCAATCAAGTTATAAAGAGATAAAAACCCTTCATCTTCCTCCATCCAATCAAAATATTGTAGAATAGTTGCTTCTCCACGTTTAACTTTGTCACGTTGCCGTTGTTCAATTTCACCCTGTTAGAAAAACATTAACAAATTGAATGATAATCTGCGATTAAACGATAATACATGTGATAAACGAATCCTTACCTTTAGTTTAGAAGCTGTTGTAAAATCGCCCTCATTTATTGCTTTTGAAACGTGCTGCCATAGCTTTATGCTCTCTAAATCATTTTGCTTCTCTATTGGTTCTATAATAGGAGTGGCTCTATGTGTAGCACCTACATCAAGGAAACCGGATTTTTCGTTGGTCATGTGGTTCTCCAAAGTGGATTTCCCGGACCAAGTTCCGGAAGCAGTAAACAAAGGATCCTTTGAACCATTACGGCGTACCACGCTATAAAAGGTGTGTTTCTCTCCAGAAATCCAACCTTTTCCAGTAAATTCAATAACAGTGTTAAAATTCTGAGATTGAATCACACTTGTACCACTATATAACAATATTAACAATGTGTTGAGAAGTAGAATAAAATGAGTATAGATACTATGTAATTCACAACGAACCTTAATTCTACATAAGGAGCGCCCCTCCATAAGCCAAGAATTTGCAGGGACGGCAACATTATCAAATATTTGTCAGGATAATCTCGTAAACGAACGATAATGTGACCAACTTGTATGACATCGATACGCGCAGCCGTAGCCTTAAATTGTGTTTTTTGTCCAGCTTGATTTGTACAAAGATTTAGTATTAATTAAACCGATCTACAAAATTGACAATTAAAACGTCGAAAATACATACTATGACCATTCGCTGTCACTCCTGCATGCTTATTTTCAAGATATATTGCAGAAACTGGTGGATGATGACTAACTTGTTCTGAAAACAAGACAGTCTCTCCGCAACCATTAATGCTTTCCCATCTAGCCAAGAATTGTTCACCTTTATATTATTGATCATTGCGTTTAAATTGGAAAGTTGATTATTAAAATTGTCGCATAAATTAACTGCTGCACTGGAATTTCAAGAAGTTAATATAACAAAACCCTACCAAGAATCGGATTGAAAGGTTTCTTCTCAATTTTTTCTTTATCTTTCCTAGACGCGAAGGATCCGTATAACGTACTCACAAACCATTTAAGAACAGCTACAGCCCTCTCAGCTTCGTCAACGGGCTTAGAAATATGGGCGAAAAGTTCCGGATAATCTGCCCAGTATTGACTTTTTCGGAATAGTAAAAAGAAAATTTGTCAAAAATGGTATAAAGAGGAAGCACAAATATTTATACTTACATACCCATACTCCAAAGTTGAAACACCAGACAGAAGGAAACTGGGACATGTTAAACTATATATGTCACCAGTAAACGTGGAAAGAGTTTTTAAAAAACCGCTATATTCGTTTTTTTTCGACTCGGGAATCTGAGGTTCTTGATCGTTATCCATACTGTTATTGCTTGTTTTTTCATTTTCACTCATTTTGCTGATTAAAATTATAAGGTTGAAATGATAAAGGTGTATATTAATAATAATTTCCGTAACCTGTCTTTACATACCGTATTGGAACTCTTCTGTATGTAATAATGCATAATTAATCGATACTGGTACGCACAGGTAAGCGTTGAGAATCACATGTTCAACATTTAAAATTGTCCCGAGTTACATTTATAATACATATTATATAATTTTATTTATCGTTATTGTACTGTACCAGAAAACCTTTTGATCGATCGTACAACGTACATAGGCTGGCTGTCGCAGAAATATGTTGGGATCACATAGTGTCGTACACGAGATGTTTCGAACCAAGAGTCTTTTTTTTTTTTTTTACATAAAAAAAAAGGTACAGTACGTATGTAGACGATGCATATAATTTATGTAAACGTAATATAAAATAAAAAATTTTCACCTGAAAATTCATGATATGGGCGTCACCAAGAGAAACCTGTCATCAGGTTTTTATAATTTATCGGACACAATTCTAAAAGAATCAGATAGACTGAGTCCGGTGAACAATAAACTTGAAACCCTAATAGATCTTTCCAAGCTTTATTCTGAAAATTTTTACTTAGGACACCCTTATACGTATGTACCGAATTCACAGTTTAATGAATTCAATAATAAAAAGGCGTTTTTTCCAGCCCACTTACCAATTAGAGCGCAATTTATTAATGGTATTTAACAAATTTGGATATTTTGAATATGCTTAATTTTAGCCGAAATTTAAAATTACATCTCTGGGCATAGTGAACTGTCCTAGCGTTCCTAAAAAAATTTGGCTGTTAGATTAAGGTTAGGTTTGGCTATTAAGTTAGGTCAGAAAGAGCCCTAGTAGTACCAAAATTTCGCAAGAAAACTTTTTTGTTAGTGTGCAGAAAATGGTTTCATATTTCTCGATCCTTAATCCGACCAATTCGATAACCCTAATAAACTTTGTATATATGATTGACTGATTCGAAAATAATCTTTGCTAGCGTTGTTTTCTCCTCTTAAATCAATCCGATTATTCTGAACATTCAGATAAGCCATAATATTTTACAAAGAATAGCGGGATCAACAGTACTTTTTTGAGAACAGTGTTTCATTAGTAAAAAAAAAAATTCAACTAATAAAACAAATATGATATCATTAAGTGAATTCGAATAGCTATCCGACTATAATAAAGAGGTTCTGAAGAATAGTATCGAAGCTCTATCTGTCATTACCTTATCTTTTTTTATAATAATTTGTAGAAGATACTTCTCTGGACGATAAACCAATTACAAATCTTTTTATAAGAATGGAGCTCAGACTAAAGTTGCTGGTGAAACTGGTGACTATCTAAAATTTGATTGACTGTTCACCAAGAGTTTCACCAGCAACTCTAGCTCAGACTATATATACTGCATAAATCGTATTCTTGATATCTACCATATCAAAAAAGTAACTCGGTTTTAATGATAGTTATGATCGACAAGTGGCATATTTTCGACCAATCAAATCAAATTAATTACCAACATTGACAGATATTAACCATAATTTTTGTCATTTTGCTGTTTGAGTTTTCGTTATGGATCAACGTAAACGACGTCCCGCCAACGTCTTTGGTGACGAAGACGAACAAATGGTAAAAGCTGAATCAGACAGCAAAAAAATTAAAAAGTAAACAACGCTTTTCCTTAAAATTTTGCACTTACTGCTGCATTCTGTATATCCTTACGAGCTAATATGCGGTGTTTTTCATTTTTGATTGTGATCTTTTAATTAGTGTTAGCGTGGTAAGTACTTTACAATCAAAATTTACAGTGTGTTTAAAGGAAATATGTTTCTCTAATTCAAGGATATTACAGGGAGTTCCCAGTTTTATTCCTACACCAACCGATCCTTCTACTGTACAAAATGCGGCGCCTCGGCCAGATCAAGTAATGATTTTAAATTTTACATATTTTTAGAGGTTATTAAGTTATTAATAAATAGCATATATATCTTTCATCGTTTAGATTAAAGCTATGATTGCACAAAAACGAGCTCAATTAGAGGCCATGGCCGCAAATTTCAAACCACCTCAGCCAAAGACTACATTGCCTGTACAACCTCCGGTAGTTTCAAACCTTCCTTTTCAACCTAGCTTGGTTGCGTCTGGAATTGATCCTGATCTTAGACGCAAAATTCAAGAGGCTAAAGAGAAAATCAAAGTGAACTTGGCTAAAGCCAACCCTTATTTGGTGAACTTTCATTTTTTTTTCACAATATAAATTTTAGTATTTTTAATAATATAAATTTAATTTTAAAAATTATTTTTATAATTATGTAGCCATCAACTAATCCATTAGTAAAATTGGGGGATGATTCTATAAAAGCAAAGGGTGGACTCAAAGTCGAATCACACCCTGCGCTTCTTTTAGATCAAAGTGGAAAGCTAGATTTGAAACGAGCTGCAGCGTTGATGCCCAAGCCCAATTTTGCTACTGTGAAGGTATGCTTGCCTAAATATCGTCAGCCCATGTTATTTTTTTATCGTTTCGTTTAATGCACACCTACAGTCTTTTTCTACACAGAACATAATGTTGAAATGTTGGTATTTGTTCGCCTCAACAGGCAAACCAAAGGCTTGCACCCGCTATATCGAGACAAGAAGCTAAAGCGTTGGCTCCTTCTGAAGAATTGGATGATATTACACAGAATCCTTATTACGATCCGAGGGCTGGAGCGGCTGCACCTCAAAGACGTGTCCGTAAAAAATTTAAATTTGTTCAGCCGGGCAAATATGAAGCATTAGGAAATCACATGAGAGCACAGGTATTAAAGATTATTTATACATACAATCGATTCATTATGAAACGTCATATTAAAGTTGAATTACTGAACACTGTAGGCCAAATTGGAAAAGTTGAAAGAAGAAATTGCTGAAAGTGTCAAGAAAGCTGGGATGGAAGCAGAAATAGACTCAACTGATAAAGCAATTAAGGTAACTGATACGTTATTTAGTTAATTTGTACTTTTTATTCTTAATACAATATTTCTAACTCTTATAATAGAGAGATCCGCCGCCTGTAATAGAATGGTGGGATTTACCTTTCTTGTTAAATAAATCTTACGATGATATCGATGCTGGTTTAACCAAAATCGATGATGAAGATTCTCTTGCTACTTGGTTTGTTCAGCATCCAGTACCAATTAGGCCTCCAGGAGACAATGGTCCTCCTCCACCAAAACCGTTGATTTTGACTAAAAGGGTTTGTTTATATTATTTGATTTATATTTTTATAATTAGGAAATTGATATTTCCACACCCTTTTTTGATATTATCACACTCCGTTAATATAGATTAATAGGGTTTGGTTAGGTTTAGAGTTGGCAGGGGTGTGGCAATATCAAAAAAGGATGTAGGAATATTTATCTATGATTCAATATAATGAGCTGTTTACAATTTACTATGAACTAATTTGCATTATAGGAACAAAAGAAGTTGCGTAAACAACGGCGGTTAGAGTTGCAAAAAGAAAAACAAGACAAAATTCGCTTGGGATTACTACCTCCTGATCTCCCTAAAGGTTCGGCATTAAAAGTGCATTTCCTTTTTATTTAATTTCGTATATAATGTGACTAATACTTTTTCCGCTTATGAAGTCAAATTGAGTAATTTGATGAGAGTCCTTACGAACGATGCCGTTCAAGATCCGACCAAAATCGAGGCTCAAGTCCGTAAAGAAATGCAAAAACGACAAGAAACTCATCAGAAGGCAAATGAAGAGCGCAAACTGACTGATGAGCAGAAAAAAGAGAAAAAACAAAAGAAGATGGAAGAAGATAAGAAAGCGGCTACAATAGTCTGTGTTTTTAAGTATGTATAAAGCTTTTCACTATTTATTAATTATATAAGTTGCGATTACATTTTTTATTTACAAATTTATTTTTCTAGAATAAATGATCTTTCACATCCTAAGATGAAGTTTAAAGTTGACATGAATGCTCAGCAGCTCGGACTTTCAGGCACAGTCATAATCAATCCTAATTTTACTGTAGTGATTGTTGAAGGAGGACCTAAAGCTATTAAATATTATAAGAAATTGATGTTACGACGTATTGACTGGTCTGATACTACACGAATAGGAGAAGGCAGCAGTGAACAACCTGTGGATGAACCTATGGAACCTCCTAAGGAAAATAAATGTTCACTGATTTGGGAAGGAGAAGTAAAGGATCACGGGTTTAAAGGATTTTGGTTTAAGACATGTCCAACAGAGAAAATGGCCCGCGATTACTTAAGAAAGCATAAGAGTGAGCATTATTGGGATTTGGCGTGCAAATATGTTGATGATGGATTTGATAATCCTGCTATCGTAGGTTTTTAAATTACATTAGCTTCATACTTGCCATTATGTGCCACATTTAAAATGTAAATCACTTAACAATAAATGTCAAAATAATGCAACAAAATATTATGTATTTATAGTTAAATATTCAAATATATATATTAATAATATAACAATAGATAGTATTTTGTTGTATTAATTTTGTTTATTTTATAATTTGGAAATTATTTTAAAAGGTATAAATTTTATAGTAAAAATTGGCGCAGTTTTACTATTTTGAAATTATATATAAACTTGATAGTAAACAAGAATGTTTAACAATAGAAGAAAAGAAGAATAAATTATTATGGGTTAAAATAAGATTGTTAGTTAAGAAAAATAACAAAAAGAAGAAAAAAGTTCAAATTAAATATTGGTTAATGTAAAAAAAAAAAAATAGTAAAAAAAAAACAGAACAAACAATAGACAAGTGTAAGAAGTAAATAAAACATAATAATATTAAAGTTATTTCAGAAGCATTGCTAAAAAAAAGTAATGAGAATGATGTTTTTTTTTTTTTTTTAATTTCTCACTGCATGGTCGCTAGTGGGCCACAGCTGATGGCTGTTTTATTAGTTCATATTTTAAGTTTTACAGGACCTTCTATCAGGACCTCATCTACATTTTACATTGTTTATATACATTTTACAGTACTATCTATATACTAATTTCATGTTCCTATTATCTTGGAATTTCATCAGGATTATTTCTAATCTGAGATTTCTTTGTTCTATTATTATCCTCAGCTTTCTAATCATCATGGTCTTCTTATATCAGGTCCATCATTATTTAAAAATTTGGGTACCAAAGATCTTTCTATTTTCATAATATGCCCTTTGGTGTGATTAATATGTAATTATAGTTCTAATACAGTTTATGTCTTCTGTTGGACTTGAACCAACAACCTTGTAATTGGTGACCTAGAAATATAATCATTTCACTATTAACCTGCAGATTAGGATAATGATTTTAGTGTTGTGATTGAGTTGTTATTCTCCAAATAACAAGTTTAAAGTTCAAATTTCATTTATGATAAAATTTAAAAATAAAACCTGTATTATGAAAAACTGTTTTCTGTCAATCAGTTAGATTTAGATATCTGTAATTTTAGATACAACCAATCAGGTTTTACTTATTATTGAAAACTTAAGGCATTTATGCAAAGTGTAATGTTATATATATATAGAGGAATGTTAATAACTAGTATTACATAAGATTTTAATACAAATTTATGATAAAATTATTAGATACAGAAAACTAAGAAACTGAGAAAACAGAATCTTATTTGGAAATTTCTAAATAAAAAGATAATACAAATCTTTGACAATACTGTCAAACTAATAAAAGTTCAAGAAACATCAATAAAAAATAAACAGATATGTAACTAGATGATAAGATATATAGAAAAGTATATAATCAAACAGAATATCAGAATTATTGAAGAAAAAAATACTAAGATATATTATACCAAATCATTTGAATTGAAAATTTGAAAAGTTTGTTAAATTCTGAATTAAATAGTAAAAGGATGAAGAGAAAATGTTAGAAAGATAAATATTAAAATTTGAATAAACTTTTTAAAAATAAAAATAGTATAATATAACAGTAAACAGATAACTTTTATGACTGTAAATGTTAGATAACTATAGTGTGTTGCATAAAACTAGATTAGTATATATAAGATATATAGATTTTAATAATTTTTTTTTGAAGATAAAATAGTTCTAAGAGTACTAATAAGTATTAGAAACTTAGATATGTATAGCTCTAAGATGTTTTTATAATACAAGATGAAATTATATATATAGAAGGTTTAAATAAGCAAGACCTTTAGTTGGTTAACAAGTATGATATCTAGTATAGAATCTGTATAGTAATATATAGACAGACTACTTAAATTAGATACCAAAAATATATAAATAGCTAATTGTAATCTCTAATATAAAAAGGTCTTTAGAGATACTTATGTTCTATAACTTGAATAAAAATATTATTTCTTGAAAATAGAAACTTTAATTATAAAAAAAAAATAAATAAAATTAATTAAAAAACAAAATTTAAATAACAAAATTACAGAATATTTTATAAAAATCTTAGATAAAAATACAATAAGAGATAAAAACAAGTATTTAATATACTTATATAAAGTTTTTTTTAAATATTAAAATAAGTACTTGCAATCTAGAATTTTATTAATAATATATTTAGTTAATAGTTACATTATAACTACAAAAAGCAATTATATAAAAAGTATAAAACTAGTTACTTGTACAACTTTAGTAATAGTCTAATTTAAGTAATTTGTTTAAAGGCTTTATACTAGTTGTTATACTTGAAACTTGCTTATAAGTTTTCTATTTTTTTTTTTTTTTTTAAGTAAGTACTTGTGACTCAGAATTTTATTAATAGTATATTTTGCTAATAGTTGCATTATAATTACAGAGGGCAATTATAAAAAAAGTGTACAACTAGTCACTTGTACAACTTTAATCATTGTCTAATTTAAGTAGTCTGTTTGAAGATTCTACAATAGTTGCTATACCTGGAACCTGCCTGTAGGTTTCCTATTTAACTACTCTAGTTTCCATATTCATCTATCTATTTTTGACTATCAACAACCCTAGCTGATGCTAGTAAAAATATATCATAACCATTAAGTCTTTAAAGCAGTTTACTCATATAAAGAATCTTTGACCTTGTATTAAACTTTTCAGAATCTTCTGTATTTTATCCTTACAGCTAATTTGGTATGGCTATAGTCAAGACCAACACTAGTAGTCAGAACATACTATTAAACTACTATGTCCTTATAGAGTTTACTCCAACTCTGATACTGACTTCACAACATATCCCTACTACTTTGATATTCAATTCAAGTTTTATCAAGCTCCCAAACCAGAAAGCCTAGAAAGGCAGATCATAACCATACACCTCTGATTTACATGTTTGCTGGCATGTAACTTTTTTCTCCAAAACAGATCCAGTGACCTGGTTGGTTTCATTTGGCTCCTTCTTAAAGGCCAGCTTTTTGTTCAGTTTTACAAGTTCTAGTTCCATTCATAGATTTAGTCTTTACAGTAGTATTATCAAAAGTTTAGATTACCTCTCTACTCGAGTCTTCCAAGTAGGCTTTTATCTTTCTTTTTTTGGTTTCTATAATTTACATAGCCATGAGGACTTATTGTAGGTTTGCACTACCTGGTACCAGTTTGCATTTCTTCATATAACTACAGATCTTGTTCCAAAGGACAATGTTATGTAACTGTTACACAAATGCTATGTGACCTGCCAGTCATGCTAGTATAACACAAATAACAGATATCTTATCTCAACTAATTGTGAGAAACAGTTAACTATAATACAGAAAAGATTTTTAAATTTTTCATCAATACTGGGATTTGAACTTTGAATCTGCCACTTGGGAGTTGACAACCTAACTACTTCACTAGGTTGCTACATTCCTATAAGTTTTTTATTTAAACATTTTAGTTTCTATATTTACTTATTTTTTTATATCTATCAATAACTTTGATCAATATTAGTAAAAATATATTATAGTTATTAAGTTTTTAAAGCAGTTTACTCATATAAAAAACTTTTAACTTTATACTAAACTTTCTAAAATCTTTTGTATTTTTTATTTTGACAGTTAACTTAGTAATATTATAATTAAAACCCATACTTATAGTCAAGACTTACTATAAATTACTATGTTTTTGTAGAGTTCATATTAATTTTAGTACTTATTTTACAATATATCTCTATTCTTTTAATATCAATTCAAGTTTTGTCAAGTTTTTAGTTTAATTAGTTTAGAAAAATAGATACAATTATACTTTTGATCTACATGTTTGCTAGTATGTAATCTTTTTTTTTTAAAAGTTCTAGTAATCTAATTAGTTATAATGATTTTTTTTTAATGATTAATATATTATTTAGTTTTACAAATTCTAGTTTTGTTTTTTAGTTTTAAGCTTTACAATAGTACTATTAAAAGTTTAGACTACTTTTTTATTTAAGTCTTTCAAATAAGTTTTCATTTTTCTAATTTTTATAATTTATACAGTTATGAGAACTTAACATAAATTTACATTACTTGGTACTAATTTGTATTTCTTTATATAACTGTATATTATATAAATATTATATAATCTTTTAGTTATACTAATATAATAAAAATAACAGATATTTTATTATAACCAATAATAAAATACATTTAATTATATTACAAAAAGAATTTCAAATTTTGTTAATACTGAAATTTGAACTCTAGATCTGTCACTTAAAATAATAATATAATTATTTTACTATATTATTATATTTTTATATAAAAATTTTTATAGTTATTAATATTTTTTATTATATAATCTGTTATTAAATATTAATATATTTTATTTTAATAATATTTTTATTATTTTATTTATAATAATAGTTCTTTTCTATTATGGTTTTTTTTTTTTTGAAATTTTTAGTTTAAAAATTTAATCATTTATTTATTATTTTTTTTATTTTTTTTTATTTATTTTTAGTATTTTTTTTTAACTTTAGCAGTCATACTAGTATATTATAGAATTTTTGAAACTATACAAATTACATAGAATTTTTCTAATATATAAGTTTAGCATTACTCAGCCATCCAAATAGTACCTAAGTATGACTTGCTGTACTATTTCAGTTAGAAATAGACTGCTCATCTAATTGCTGCTCTACAATAGAACATCGCCAATCTGATGTTATTTTTTTATAAAGAAGCAAAAAACAAAAAAAAATTTTTTATGTAAAAAACAAAACAGAGATATAGAGATAAATAATAAAAAATACAAATTAAGAAATAATAAAGAAAATTGAATAAATAAGAAAAAAAGGAAATATATGAAATTTGCAATTCACAAATATTAGATAGTTACAATTGTATGTCTATATCAGGTTTTTAAAAATTATAAACTATACTAAATAGAAATAACTCTACTATTTTTCTATTTATTTAGATTATTTAACAA